ACAGACCCCTCTTTGTCATTCCCCTCATCTGTACAAACGCAGCAGTAGGTGCTGTAGCTGTTACAATTTAAGATTGCAATTTAAACAAGACTGCTTTTTACGGTGCTAAAGGGATCGGAAAATGAAAGGAGCACTTAGTGAATGTCAGTTAGCTGGATCTGTGATTGCCAGATGAGCTAGCGCGGGGAATACTCGGCAGCACCCCAGTTGTGTGCCTAAAAGGAAGAATCCTTCACTCCCAGAAGAGGTGAGACACATCTCTGGAGAAGACAAGGTATTCCCCGGGCTGTGTGGCTGCCCAGCGGCCTTTGCTACGCCTACATTTGACAGGCATTTCTGCTGCGAGCCAGGCGTATTACAAACAATTAAAATTACGTAGCCTGCAGATCAAACAAACACACAAAGAGCAGCATTATGTTCATTAAATAAAACCTAGTCATATTATGATAGATGACAAATCTTTTTTTAAGGGGAGGCCATTTTTAACTGAAAAACGAACAGCAAAGGGAAAAAAAAATCTCGATCATCTCCATTTTTGCAGTGACAGCAAAACCTATCAAGTGCAATTTTGCAAAACACAGCCCTACATATGCATTTTTTGGCACTGCCTAGGGCAAGAATTCCCAAATGGCTGTGTACGTACCACTGAGAGTATATACAGACACCTCAGTGTGGGAAAAGATACAGCACAGAACCAGGACCTGTTATCACTGTCAGTACAAAAAAGTGTGGGAATCTCTCAGTGAGGAATTTCACTCAGTTTTCAAGTCAAAAACACTTGCATAACAATTTTTGCGTTGGGGGGGGCGTCATTTAAGTCATTTTTTCTGCATTCATTATATCCTGTATGCTTTTATGCTCTGTAAAGTCTTTTAAGACCAACTATTCCACAGTTGATAGGTCACCTCCCTTTAAGGTGATCATACCAAGTGCTGCACTGTTCATTTGGATATTTTTTTTCATGTATGATAATGTACTTTCTGATTGTACATAGTTTGACGGTTTATGTTTCCCCATCTTTTTTGAGGTAGACAAAACCTGGAAGCCATTCTCTCAAGTCTGCTGAAAGGTGCCATTTAGGGCACTGGTCATGTCAACAGCACAAGTGACTGTCCGGTTCACTGGTACAAAACCGGTTTAGTGTGTGGCCATGCTCTCTCCCCTTCTGCCCTTGTGTTCATGTAAAAACAAAACCATAAAAGCTCATAGTCTCATTCCATATGTCCTCAAACGGTTTACTAAATTAAGATTTCATTTATTGGTGCTATTTGAATAGAAGTTATAGTTTTATAGTGATTATTACAGTCACCGAAATGACAGAATTTATGAGAAATAATACATATGGACACAGATTTGCAACTTCCATTCATTTCACTGCTACTCCTGCATTTTGAGTTTAGGTCTATAGTAATTTCATGTCATCCCTACCGTGTCCTTTCTTCAGATCCCCACTTGCAGAGCACCTTCTGTCTCTGCTCTCGCTCCCCAACTGCCTTGACAGCCTGCAGAGAGTCACTGGCGGGGGGGGGGGGGGGGGG